AATCAACCGAGCGCTCCTCATGCTGCGGCGTCGAATAACTTGTACGAACGTCTGCCACCTCCAGTGAAAGCTGTAGTCGACAGCATGCGCCGTGAAGGAAGACTACAGGAGCCGCTGAACGATAACGTGATCACGCGGTTGTTGCATCTGCCCGAGCCTGTAGCACTACAAGCCGTCGAGAATTTCAGCAACGTGGATCTGTCACAAGTGGAGAACTTACAAGGCTTTCTGGTGGGAATTATCAACCGTGTAAACGAGAAGGCGATTGCCTCTGAAAAACATCACCGACCGCAAGTGCCTTCTCCTCGAGGACAAGCTCCTTCTGCGATGTCTCGAGGTTATGGAGCTCAAGATGGTTCTGTTCTTGGAGGACCCCCTCAAGGCGGGCGTTTGAACAACACCGGAGCAAATACCGGCGGCTACCGTGGCCAACCAGCCCCCATGAATGCAGGTCCTGGACCTGCACTGTATGAACGGCCCTACGAGGCCCCACAGGATCCGCGGGACCCGCGTCGTCGACAACCAGCGCCTCAGGGGCCGCCTCAATATGGCGGAGCAGTACGTGGACCTCCCCAGGTCGGTGGACGTGCACCTATTGGAATGCAGTCGTTTACTGCACTCCCAATGTCGGTGCAGAACCACGTTCACTCGTTGGTGGCGAATCGTACACTGTCATCGTTAGAAGAGCTTGGTGGCAAGTGCTACGAAGTACTGGGACAACTTTCCGAGCCACTAGCGAACCAAGTTCTCACTCGGTTTGCTGGTGCCAATCTCTCCAATGTCCGCAACAAGAGCGGATTCCTCATTGGCGTTGTCAAGCGAGCGCGTCAGGAGTACGGCTTCAACTAATTAGTGACCAAAAAGTAGGCTCTTATCGGTTGACCATTTCAACAAGTACGTGTATTGTCAGTTCTGTTGTCTGTCCAACTTGGAACCTCCAGTTGTCTATGGAGCCATGCGAGGCACGAAAGCAGGCAGGCCTGTGATGGCACGCCCAAGGATGAGAGCGTGCACGTCATGGGTTCCCTCGTATGTGTTGACAGCCTCCAGGTTGACGACGTGGCGGATGATGTGGTATTCGTCCGAGACGCCGTTGCCGCCAAGCATGTCACGAGCGTTGCGAGCGATCTCGATTGCTTTGCCACACGAGTTACGCTTGACCATTGAGATCAGTTCCACTGGCGCCTTGCCTTCGTCAAGCAGCCGACCAACTTGTAGGCATCCCTGAAGACCGATCGCGATCTCCGTGTTCATATCTGCCAACTTCTTCTGGATTAGCTGATTGCTGTTCATAAAATGCATGTGCATATTATTAGAGGTACAGGGGTTGGCCAGCATGTAAAGATCCCACACACGTACGCTGCGAGTGGAGCGCCGAATTGGTTGCGGTCAAGAGTGTACTGACGGGCGATGTCCATGCAGGCGTCTGTTTCAACGTTGAGAGAAACACGACGTTAGTAGGAGCACTTGGATAAGGATTTTGAATAAAACCCGTACATGCTGCACCGAGGGCCCCCCAGGAAATTCCGTAACGAGCACTGTTCAGACACGTGAAGGGACCCTGTAATATATCACCAGAGTTAGTTCGAATGTAGAATATGCTGAAACAATGGGCTATTGTGTCGTACCTTGAGGCCTTTCACCTTAGGAAGCATATTTTCCTTGGGAACTTCGACATCTTCCAGGAAGATCATGCCAGTAGCAGATGCCATCAATGTCGCCTTGCCTTCAATGTAGGGAGCTGACAGACCAGGGAAGTCCTGGAGGTGTATACAAACTATGTGGGTCATCAGAAATGCTAACCAACGAAGTATTCATGGGCACCTTCTCTAGAATGAAACCGCGGATGTCACCCTCGTCGTCCTTGGCCCAGACGAGGAACACGTCGGCGATAGGAGCGTTTGTGATCCAATTCTTGGAACCGTTGAGAATGTACTTGTCTCCCTTGAGCCTAGCACGCGTCTCCATCCTTTAAAGAGGAATAATATACACAGTTAGATACGCAAATGTACTGTGCATCAGTCAGCGACTACTCACGATCCAGGGTCAGATCCGTGGTTCGGCTCCGTCAAGCCGAAGCAGCCAATGAGTTCACCAGTGGCAAGACGCGGGAGGTACTGCCATGATGCAATACACATGTGAGGCTGCAGTTCTAACTAGCAAAACAGATAAATTGCCACATACCTTCTCCTTCTGCTCGTCGGATCCGAATGTGTTGATCGGGTGCATCACCAGAGACGACTGCACACTCATCGCGGATCTGTAGGCGCTGTCCACCTGCCACACAACAACCCACACAGCTAAGCCATCTCAATACAGTAAATCAATTTCTAGCAGCTACATACACGCTCCACCGCGTTCGCAATGAGGCCATAGGACACGTAGCCCACACCAGCGCATCCGTAGCCTTGGATCGTGGGACCCAGGAAGCCCATTTCACCCATTTCCTTCATAATGGAGCGATCGAACTTGCCCTTACGGTTCGCCTCCACGATGCGCGGTAGCAGTTTGCCCTGGCAGTAGTCGTTGGCCGATTTCTGCGGAGAAATAGTCACAAACTCAGTCACAAATGCGTCAATGACCGTAGCTGAGACCGGCCAGACGCACCTGGATCATGGCCTCCTCGTCCGTCAGCTGGCCCTCCAGCATAAGCGGATCACGCCAATTGAAGGTGGCACGGCCTCCAGCCATGCCACGTGTGGCTCCGAGCGCGCGGCGTCCAACAGTGGACAAGGAGAGCGACTTGACGGTCAACATGGCGAAAGGATGTTGCGTCGACTTTGAAAATCGAGATATGACGCAGTCTGGTTTTGGTCCCGTGAAGTGGATGCTGATTGGTTCGTCCTATATCATGATTGGAAGTTTCAAACTTCAAGTTTGTATGTTAATTTGATGTATAAGACACCAAGTTGAAGATTTAAGTGTCTGATGATATCAAAACATAGATAGAAAACGTTTGTGAGCGCTACAGTAAATAAATTTAATACAACCACGTACTTACCGCCATGTCCTTCGACGTGGAAAATAAACTCGTCATTCCGCGTCCACGCGGCCTTGGTCAAGTTGGCACTACCTCCAACTGCGAATGCCGAGTCCTCATTCCAAATAGCGAGGAGTTGTCAATGCTGACTTGGACGGACTTACCTACAATGAGAAAATAAATATGTTAGTAAAGCGACATAAAAAAAAATCAAAAAATATTTTTTAATGCAGCCGAATCATCTCGATGCAAAACTCGTCTCTGTGAGCGCGTAGTATGCAAAGCATGCTTTTGACACGGTAGATTTGCGTAGTCGGTTGAGTAGATCTTGCTTTGTAGCCGCGTCCGCATCAAGGACGGACACGGCGATAGGCAGATCCTCACCACTCAAGGCAATCACTTCTGTCACTGCCACGACGTCAGTAGCCACGACGACTCCGTCCAAAGATTCGGCCGAAGTGACCACAACGTCGGACACCAATATGTTGAGCTCCGCGGAGCCTTGTACCGCATCGATGACCGATAACACATCCTCCGCGGTCACGCCGGAGGACACGATGCCGTCGACGGAGTCCGTCACGAACATGTCGACAAGCTGAAGCACGAACAAGTTGAAGCGAACAGGTGGGGAACAGGCCCAGCCACATTGGCCCAGCGCAGAACATTGGCATTTTCTTGTGGTCACTTGCATTATGGTTTTGGCAACAGGCAGCACCGACGTAGATCCGTCTAATGTCGATGTGGCTTCGGCATGACGTTGCTTTGCCAGGCTGATATTGAGTGACAGCGACTGTTCAAGGTGATCGGTCGCACTAAAATGCAGAACGACGATAGCGGACACGATGCTCATGAAGCCGGGGCTTTTAAGCTCCCAGTGACGGCAGAAACAATTGCATTTGGGCGACTTGGAGGCATCTACAAGGCTCTAGACAGAAGAACGTAGGTAAGAGCGACAGGTGCTGCATTCGGTTGCTAGCGCTCTGATAAGGTTTTCCTTTTGTGTGTCACGTCAAGTGGCCGAATGGTAGCAGTAGAATGTATTAATTTGGTGGATACTACGGCTGAATTGAAAGAAGGCAGTACACCTGCAGAAATCGTCCAGCGAGTGTTGCAAGCTGAACTCGAACGCAGCAGTGCAATCATCAATGGGGATAACGGGCGACATGTATTCTACTACGACTCCGTCATTGAATTTCGGCTCCGTTGAGATTTGCACTAAATCTTCTTCATCCACAGAGACGATCTCGGCGGACACATGGACGACGTCGGTGGACACATCGTCGGCTCGAACGAAGTCCGGCTTCAGCACCATCAAAGCCTCCACCGCTTCGATGATGTTGGAGCCCTCCACGACAGGGCTCGGAAAAAAATTATTCCGTACCAATAGTATTAATATTTTTTGTACGGAATTATTAACTATTGAAATATATGACTATGTGATATTATTGCACAACGACACAATATACTGCTATTGATACTACAAGAAGTATTATACTAGCCGTGGACGGTTCAGTCAATCGCCGACGGTTCATAACCGTAGTTGGATGGCTCAGAGCTTCACAACGCTTAGCCATCTAGACAGCAACCTTCGTACAAAATTTAAGCTCTAAGCTCTCAGTTCCAATTGCACTCTCTACTGTAAAACGCTTCAGAATGAGCACTACACGCAACAGCGACCTTTGCCGCTTCTTTTTCGCTGTTGACACAGACCACTATTTTGTCTGCAACTACTGTAGTGCCCGGCGCAAGCAGCTCCCTTCAAGTGGCTACGCAAATATGATCAGCCATCTCAAGGACAAGCACCCCGGCTACGTTCAAGACTACACGTCTCATCAAAGCAGACAGGCGGGTTTGCTTAGGACCTTTGGGTTTGTCAACCCTACCGCATCCAACATGTATCGATGGATCGAGTGGGTCGTCACCCGTAACATGCCGTTAAGCGAGGTCGATGATCCACTCACTAGAGGCATGTCGAAACTTCAGCCTGTCTGCTCAAAGATGCCCAAGCGATACATGACTTTACTTGTTGCTGCTGTCGAGGCTAAGATTACTGCCGAGATGTCAGGGCAGTATGGCTACATGTATGATGCATCTACGTTCTATCTGGAGAACTACGTGGCTCTTTACGCTGTGTATTGGTATGACGATCAGATGAGGCAAGTGCTGCTTGCTATCGCCCCAATGGAAGAAGGCGACCTGACGGCTCCTTCATCAAGAAAATCAGCGAGATTTTCCACCTATCAGAGTCGAAGATGGCATTTCTGATTGGTGATAATTGTTCGACTAACCAAGCAACTGCGACACGTCTCGACGTTCCCCTGATTGGTTGGGCGTCGCACCGATTTAATTTGGCTGTAAACGCGTATTAGGAAAGCTACAAGGCTGAGATCGAGGTAGTCAGCGCACTCATGGCGGCCTTGCGCACGGTCAACAACCGTGCCGCTCTGCGCGAACACACACACCTCTTGCCGTTAAGGCCAAACGTGACGCGTTGGAGCTCCACGTTCGAGATGGTAGCTCGCTACGTCCGTTTTCGGGACGACATCAAGCATGTAGAGTCCGTGTTCGACCTCATTCCCAAGGCGGCAATGCATCGACGCATTGAGGCGCTTCTAAAAGATCTACGTGTCTTCCAGAGTGTAACTCTGAAGCTACAGCTAGAGGACGTGACGTTAGCCGATGTACGAGCTTTGTTTGACTCCATCACCGAGCGCTTCCCAACGACCAAGGCTAAGTTGAGTGCGTCTGCTACTATCGTCCATTTTCCTACTTTTGAAGCAGCCGCGGTGAAGGTACTATTTTTTAATTTTACTACTACTATCGGTATGTGGAAATGCTAACGCTACTAACTGCTTCATTAGGTCATTAATGGAGATGGAACCGCTCGCAACGCCACTCGACGTGAAGCCTAAGAGACCGGGGATGGCAGTGACTGCTGCCGATACTGTCGCCCAAACTATTTCAGCACCAACTGCAAGTCCCAATGGCAGAAGCTGCCGTCGGGGCAGCCGCAGACGCGCACCAGAAATAACCAACTGTGGCACCAACCGTAGCGCCGATACCCATGAATACGACTTTGACCGTGGCTGAGGTCTTCTTGTTTTCGGTGGTCTCGGTGTTCGGCATGCGTTCTCTGGAAGCCTGAGTAGCCTGGGACACATCCTTGTCCGAAGCTCTAATGCCAACCACAATAGCGGCAACGGCGACAGTACCAAGAGTACCACCCACGACAACCGCTTTAGCCCCAAGGGCACAAGTTGCGACGACAGGAACTGCCACACTTCCAGTTCCAATGGCACCAGCTACAAAGGCTTCGGCGGCAGAAGCTACAGCAGCCACACTTTCAGTTCCAATGGCAGAAGTAGTCACAACTCCAGCCATAAGGACAGGAGCCGTGAGTGCAGCTACACCGACAACAGGGAGAGCTAGGACACAAGCAGCAACGCCGGTACCTCCAATGGCTTGACGGAGGCGGTTAATGGTAGAGATATAGGGGTCCACCATGTCTTCCGAAGCAAATTCTTGTCTTGGTTGTTTGAAACGCTCCCGCGGGATCGTTTCTGGTACCTCCGTTATCCGTCGTTACTGACAAAAAAAAAGATAGGCCACTTGATACAATAGCAAAAACTGATCACAGCAAAATTAGTCCATTCCACGATACAAAAGATATTCTTATGTATGTACTGAAAGACATGGGTTCAAATCCAGTACTCATGCAGATCCGAATCGCGCCTGCAGCGCTCGAACGATGAAGATTGCGCTCCTCCAAGAACAATCTCAAGCTCTCGGAGGAACGCAATCTCCATCGGAAGATTGACCACCCTTACGAGTTTCGCTCGAGCTTATCATGAGGTGAATGGTAACAATCGCCACCATGTCGAGTGACTATTAAAGGGAGGACAACAGTCCCTCTCGGCAGCATCACTGCGGTTAATTCAAAACTGTATAGATGTTCGATGGACTCCATTCATAATCATCTAAACATTGATATAAAGAGCGCGCGTCATTGAAGTCGTGGACACCAGTAACTACTAATCACTAGTTGCCAACTAGCGCGCGATTTCGAGATATTGTTGCTATCATGGCCACCAGCATAAATGACTCGGTTTTGCTTGTGTATACAGCTGCCATGAAGCATTAGTACTATGTATCAATATTGAGAGACAAGGTTATCACAGAGCTAAGAGTTTTGATCCCGATAGTTGCTGCGCTTCGGCTACATAGCTTGAAACGCCGTGCGTAAGGCTACTCAACTGAAGCGCGACCTGGTAATCGCGCAGTGTACATAAGCAAATCGAGGCGACTTCAACTTCCTCACACGTCACATTTTTCTCATTTTGATCCAATCATCGTTTTTAATTATCAATATCCGCAGACCGCCTCCCATTGGTCAATATCTCCACTATCGCCCCCTTGCCAAAGCTCGCAGAGCTGCACACGTGGGGAACCCCAGCTAAAGCTCCTCGCCGCACCCCCTCTCTTCCGGGCACCTCGACCCCCCACATATCTGCAAGTGCCATCTCTGCAGTCCTCTGCTGTCTCCACACGGTTTCTTTGGTCTCCACTCGTCCTGTAGAACCCAAGATATCTCGTAAACCATGAGCCAGAAGCTGCGCGACTTGATCCGCGGCGTGCGAGCCTGCAAAACAGCGGCGGAGGAGCGTGCCGTGATTGCCAAGGAGAGCGCTCTGATCCGCACAAAATTCAAGGATCAGGACAAGCAGTATCGCCACCGCAACGTGGCCAAGCTGCTTTTCATCCACATGCTCGGGTACCCGTCGCACTTCGGTCAAATGGAGTGCGTCAAGCTCATTGCGAGCCCCTACTTCGCGGAGAAGCGCATGGGCTACTTGGGTTTAATTCTCTTGCTCACAGACCAGGAGGACGTGCTCACACTCGTCACCAACTCCGTCAAAAAGTGAGTAGAGTTTTCATGTGGACCATTATTGGTGACTAAATTGTGTTTTTTTTTCCTGATATTTAGTGATCTGAACAACCAGAACCACTTCACTGTGGCGTTGGCACTCACGGCAGTAGGCAACATTGCTTCGGTAAGCTGTTATGGGGGTTTAAGATCGCGAAAAAAATAGTTTAAAGCTCATTATTACTGTATTTCAGGCGGATATGGCGCGTGACTTGGTGATGGATGTGGATCGTCATCTTCGCAGCGACAACGAACATCTACGCAAGAAAGCGGCGCTGGCAGCCGTTCGGGTGTTCACAAAGGTGCCAGACTTGGTGGAAGACTTTACGGAATCGATCTTGGGACTGCTGCGTTCCAAGCACCACGGTGTGTTACTTGCAGGTGTCCAGCTGATCACAGAGGTGGTTCTACTGGATGCAGAGAACTTGAAGACGTTCAGTAGCCTGGTGCCGAAGCTTGTCAAGCTACTGCGTAACTTGCTGTCCATGGGATACTCGAGTGAGTACGACGTCAGTGGCATTGCCGATCCGTTCTTGCAAGTGGCAATTCTGAAGCTGCTGCGTCTACTGGGTAAGGACAACGAGGAGGCTAGCGAGGCCATGAACGATGTACTGGCACAAGTGGCTACAAACACAGAGACGGCCAAGACGGCGGGCAATGCCATTCTGTACGAGTGTGTCCAGACAATTATGACGATCGAGAGTGACAGCGGACTTCGTGTGCTTGCGATCAACATTCTGGGGCGATTCCTGCTCAACCGTGACAACAACATTCGATATGTGGCACTCAACACGCTGTCCAAGGTCGTCACGGACGATATTGCGGCAGTGCAGCGCCATACCAACACCATCGTGGACTGTCTGAAGGACCCGGACACTTCTATTCGCCAGCGTGCGCTCGAGCTGATCTACGCGCTCGTGAACTCGTCAAACATTCAAACGGTGCGTTCTTAACCCACATTTGCAGTTATGATATCAGTTACTAACCTCTTGTCGTTGTAACAGCTTGCTCGTGAGATGCTCAACTACCTGGTCATCGCTCCCAACGAGCAGAAGCCCGAGTTGTGCTCTCGTATTGCTGGTACTTCCTAACCGATTCGATGATTAGCACTGGTGTCTAGTTTCTTATTGGTTTTATTGCTTTCGTTAGATGCTGTGGACCGTTACGCACCGTCAAGCCGGTGGCACATTGATACGTTGATCACGATGTTGTCGATTGCTGGCTCGACGCTGCCGGACGAGCGGATATGCAGCTCGCTCATCACGCTTATCCAGCGCAACACGGACCTGCACCCATACGTGGTCCACAAACTGTTCTGGGCTCTTCACGACGATGTCTCCCAGTTGTCGCTCGTCCACGTGGGCATCTGGTGTGTCGGTGAGTACAGTAAGTTCCTCCTGTTGGATGCGCCCGCGTCTGAAGATACGCTGACCGACAAGAGCCGCGTGGATGAGAGCAGCATTGTGGAGCTTTTCAAGACGATCTTGCGTCACCACGGAGCCACGGACATCACGCGCGCGTATTCGCTGAACGCTATGGTGAAGCTGACGACGCGATTCAGCTCTCCGTCTGAGATCGCCAAGCTGAATTCAATGATCTCCTCCTTCAACACGTCCATGGTGCTCGAGCTTCAGCAGCGTGCCACCGAGTACACCACTCTCGGCCAGCCGCAGTGGTCTTCTCTCCGCAATGATGTTCTGGCCAACATGCCTGCTATCGATGCATCCAAGGTACGCAGCCGCAATGACAACCTTGCGTCATCGGCTGTGGGCTCTGCTGATCTCCTCGGCGACGAAGATACCAGCGCAAACACGAGTGCTTCGACTGCTCCGAAGCCAGTGCAGGCCGCCAAGTCAAGTGCTAGTGCCAGTCTACTCGACCTGGACGACATCTTTGGCGGCGGTGCATCGACGTCAAGCGCTGGTACGTCGATGTCTGCTTCGTCTTCGGCTCCAACTGCGCCCGCTGTGGACCTGCTAGCAGACATTTTCTCAGGCGGACAGAGCGCCCCAACCCCAGCTCCTGCACCTGCTTCTTCTAACGGCGGCTCGGCTGCTCCCGGTGCTAACGACTTACTGGGATTGATGGACTTCGGTGCACCTGCAGCGTCAGCACCCCCATCAGCGAACCCGCCAGTGCGTGCGTACGAAAAGAACGGTCTGACTGTGGACTTGGAGATCACAAAGCCCAACCCGGACGACAAGTCGGTGACGTACATCACGGCGACTACGCGGAACTCGACGCCCACTCCGATCGAGAAGTTTGTGTTCCTTGCTGCGTTCCCCAAGTACATCAAACTGAAAATGGAGCCCCCAACTGGCGACTCTGTGCCCGCGAACAACAGTAGTGCAGTCACGCAGGTCGTCAAGATCCAGAACAGTATGCAGGGCGAGGTAAGATTATGCCTTGCTTGGACTATTTTTACTGCCTTTGATTTGCTAAGTTGTGTTGTTTTGTTATTGTAGAAACCTGTGCTCATGAGGATTAAGCTGGAATTCTTCGTAAATGGCAGCAAGGTGGAGGACATGGCGACAGTTAACAACTTCCCGTCCAACATTTAATCAGTCAAGTAGAGACAAAGAGCCTGGCTAGAGCTTAGGATCTGCACCAATGTCCTAGCGACGAAGACCAAAACAATATAGCCCTGCTTGTTTCGTGTTGATAAGAGTCCTCTACGTGCAGCGCTTGAGCGTGGTGAGACGGAACTGCCAGTAGGCCTTCCTCACGCGGTCTGTGTCATTCATCAGCGTGTCCACCAGCTTGATGGCAGCTTCAAGAGCCTCCTCCGAGCCTTCCTTCCCGTAAAAGTCCACCAGCAACGCCGCTGCAAAGATACAATCCGGCGTAGCTGTCAGTATCTCCTGTGTCTTCTTCTTCACCTGTGCTGCAAACGTAGCTTCATGACCGCGAACGAGACCGCGAAGGTAGTTCCACGGACTCTCGTTGTGCACAGCGATGGAGATTTTGTCCAATGCATAGTCAATTTCGCGCTGACGATCCGCTGTAGCAGCAAGGCCCGACGTGTTGCTCAGCACGAACCAGCGGTGGTTCCATGCCGAGTTGTTGCGCACGTCCTCGAGCAGCATCTTGTCCACATACTGGAGCTCTCCGTCCCACAGCCCGAAGGTCTTGACTGCCCACTGGCGATGGGCCCAGGCGTGGTAGTTTTTCGAGTCTCCGTCGATGGCCATAGCACAAAACTCCTTCTCCTCGCTGCCGTCATGAAGCATGGTGCAGATCTCGCGGCGGTGGTGCCAGATCTGGTAGTTCTTGGGGTGCTGGATGGCCATGTCGGCTGTGAACTGCAGCTCCTCACGCAGATCCGAGCCTAGAGCCTCCAATACACGCCGTCGGAAGTACCAGACCGTGTAATTGGCAGGGTTAACGTCGATCACGTCCAGAGTCAGCGCCAGTGTGCGCTCGCTGTACTCGTTGAGCTTGAGCACACCTCGGAAACAGTCCATTACGTCCGTAACTGCAACAGCATGGAGAGTTAGATAAAGATTGAGGGAAGAAGGAAGAGAAGGGGGTGCCACATACAGTCGGCGGAGTAGGCGATGCTCACGATCGGGTCCGGGCCGTCATCCTGCGGCACCTTGACCACGTCGGTCCATGCAGGGTCCTCGCTGTACTTCATTGAGCTTTTCGGATATGACTTGGTGCAACATATTGGAAAGATAAAGCAACATTACGCATTTTTGAACAACTTTATGTTATGTTGTTGATATTTCACTAGCTGATCCCTATCAAAATGCCATCTAGCAACCTTCGGGTATATAGTTGCCTCAGGGGTGTAGTTGCCCCGACCTTTTCTCCATACCTTTCGCCTTGGTGCAATGGGGCGCCGAATTGTTGCACTTTTACGCTGTCTTGCCTTTGAGTACGGCGCGCATGTCCTCAGCCGTCTGCTTCGCGATATCTTGTGAGCGCACCATGAAGCGGTCCGAGACCCAGCAGACAACGAAGTAGATGAGGCCGAAAGGGATCTGCTCAGCCAGCAGATCGCCCGCCTGACGTGGCAGTTCCATGAAGCGCGACGAGTAGCTAGCCACATACCAAAAGCCTTGCAGAAGCGAGAAGGCGAAGGCGACCTTGAACGCTAGCAGCGGGTTTAACCACCGCCGAATGAAGAGCACCGTACTGGCCCCGATTAGCACAGATAGAGCCTCGAACCCCACGACGAAGCTGATACCGCGAGGACTGCGGCGCATGCGTTGCACCTCCAGGTAGCTCATCAGCGCAACGAGCCCCGCCATCTTGCTTAGGAAGGACACCCACAGGTCGTTGAAGTACACCGTCTTGGCGTAGTGCTGCAGCACCTGCTGGTTGGCAGCCTCCTCTGCCGACAGCTTGACCACCTCCTGCTTGATGCGCTCAGCGCGCTGGCCCGCGCTCGTCTTGGTCGCGGACATGGTTAGTTATCCAAAAAGTATAATACATTAGACAGTAGTACTAACAACGGCAGCAGGACTAATACCGAGTATAAATATAGGGTTGGCGGTTGGCCAAATCAGATCCAGGTCTGATTCTGACAAGTATCAAAATTAATGCTAAAAAAACGGGAAAGTCAGAATCAGGCCGGATCTGATTCGGCAAAATGTACTATACATTTCAAAAAAGTAATCTGTTGAATTATTAATATATCCGTGGTATACTACAGAGAGATTAGTAGCATTTCGTTTTAAAATAAAAAATAAAGTGATTATATTCTATTAGTTGAATATTTAATAAAATAAAATAAAAACTGAAAATCAAATAAAAAACTGTAAAATAAGAACCAGTGAAAACTACATTTACATCTTACTACTTTTTTAAAAGTAGTAGTTTCTCCCGATAAAAATGCAAGTTAAAAAATTTCGGCCAATAACAATGATACAATATCTAACGGGTTTTCTATTCGTAGAGGGCTTCTATGTCCTACTCCACTCCGCCGACCTCATCAAATGCAACATCAATGTCGCCATTGAATGGGTCCTCACTTTCAAACTCCGTAGTTAGCTCGTTTCCTGTCTCATCACGGCTCCAAGGCAGCTGGAACTTCCACCCGTAGACGTCGTGATTCCATATGAACCAGCGAGTGGGATCGACATGAAACCGCAGCCTTAATCGAGTTCAGCACAACGGACTTGGCGCACCCAACCACACACAGTTACTGCAGGAGGCAGGCGAGGGTTGACATTACGAGTATATTCCATAGCGTCCGAGTGCTTCCAAGCGTCGATCAGGACCGATAGGTTGTCATAGACTGGTGTTGGTTGAGCGCTAACGTTGAGGTTTGCGGTCTCGTAATCGTATAGCATCGAACATTTGACGGAGGTCTTTTATTTGTAAGAGCTCTTTTATTCGTAAAAAAAGTTATCAGGAAGAAAAAAATGCTAACCCAAGTTAGAAAAATTGAGCGGCGAAGTGGCTCAGTTCTCTTTTGCATGCGGCACGAACTACCGCAGCTGAAAGGCTTCTAAGTTCTACGTCACGTACACGTAGACTACGTGTAGGAGAAGTGTATCTTGCAATTGGCGCTATTATCGATCAGTTTACGTCTTCTCTGAGAGCTTCACGTTGCAGCTGTCTATCTTGCTATAGGAGCCAAGAGATGCCTTACCTAGAAAAGGTGAAGGCGTTGAAGGCTCTTCCATCCCACTTCAAACCATGGAGGTACTTTCAGCCGGTGAGTCAAGCAATTGCGGGCTCCTACTGTAACACAAGTATATGCATGAAATGTAGTGAATTCAGTACCGGTACTTGATAGAAGCAATACCCTTTTCAGTTAACTTAGCACTACATGTATTATGAATAGTTTACTGTTAGGTGTCCATGTGCTGTTTGTATTCTGAGGATGGTGGTCGTCGAAACCACGACTTCCCGAGATCTTTGTCTCCATAAATCTGTCGTTACCACGACAATCTTCAAGAACGCGGTGCAATTAATCGTTACATTTCATGCATTACTTGTTGCCTTTCCATCGCCCGCCTATCGTTCTTGATTAAAATTGAGAGAATTCTCACATGCCATTACTACCCAGTAATCACCATACTGGCATCCTACTGCAGCAGTAACTGCTGTATTGTCCGTACAGTGAACATGTATTCGTTTAATACGTTTACCGGTAGATTCTTCCCATGAAAATTAAGCAGGATGCGCATGATAATGTTTAGGAAGTGTTGGCGCTGAAAGCTTATGAAGCTCCATGTGAATCGGCTCAGTTTCCGATTTAACTCGCGTCCAGCAAGCTTGAACCATCAACTTTCTTGATGATTAACAACCCTTCGATCGACTACGAGAAGGCCTCGACGCCATATCGCGAACCCCGGGCAAGCTCCATCGTCAGCGATTGCAATCTCAAGCAGATCGCACTAATTGAAAATGAGGAAGACCCCTACTCCAAGAAGCCGCTTCAGGAGAAGATCATCTGGGGTATCATCTACGGTACTGCATCGCTGGCCGCGCTATACTTTTTCATGGTGGCTGTCAAACTTATCGGTGATGGTTTCACGCTGGCACTTGGATGTGACACGAAGGGAGCCTTCGACTTCGCCGATAACCCCGTGGCTGGTCTGATGATTGGTACCATCGCCACTGCTCTGCTTCACAGCTCGGGTACGGTGACTTCTATCGTCGTGGCTCTTGTGGGCTCTGGTGGTATGACGATTCGTCAGGGTGTGTATGTGATCATGGGTGCCAACATTGGTACGTGCATCACGTGCATCATGGTAGCGTTCGGTCAGGTCGGAGACCGTGCTCGTTTCCAGCGTGCTATGGCCGCCGCTACGGTCCACGACATGTACAACCTGTGGTCGGTCTTCGTGTTGTTCCCTCTTGAAGTGCTCTTCCACCCTCTCGAGGAGCTGTCAGTCGCCATGTCCAATGCCCAGACTGACAGTGGCGCGTTCTCGAGCCCTATCGACGCCATTGTGAACCCGCTTGCGAAGGAGATGATCGTTGTGGATAAGAAGGCCATCTATAAAGTCGCTACAGGCGATTTGGTGTGCGAACCCGGCCAGTCATTCGTCAAGGGAGGCGCGTTCGAGGGTTCAAGCATGAGTGACGGCAGCATCGGAGCCATTGTGGTCGTGATCGGTTTCTGTATCCTGGTCTGCTCTCTGCTCACATTGGTGAAAATGCTTGCCAAGGTCTTCATGGGCCCCACCAAGCGTCTCATTTCCAAGCTGCTGAACTACAATGGCTATATCAACATCCTTGTCGGAACGATGATCACATTCGTCGTTCACTCATCGACAGTCGTCACATCCACCCTTACTCCGTTGGCAGGTCTGGGTGTTGTATCGCTGGAGCAGGTGTACCCGTTGGTGATCGGAGCCAACCTCGGTACGACGGGCACGGCTCTACTTGCAGCTTTGGTGACGGGCAAGTCCGACTCTGTGGCCATTGCTCTCGTGCACTTCTGGTTCAACGTGTTCGGCATCCTGCTCTTCTACCCGATCCCGCTCACTCGCAAGCCCATTTTGGGCTGGGCACGCTCGTTGGCATTCTCTAGTGCCGCGTGGCCTATGACCGCTGTGCTGTTCCTCATCGTGCTCTTCTTGGTGGCACCGGGCATTCTGCTTGGGTTGGTGTACATGTGCACCGCTGACAGCACCGCGGTGGAGGCGATCGGATACATCTTGTCTGCAATTGCGGTGATTGCACTGGTGGGTGTCATCTTCTGGTACCAGAAGAAGGGCGGTCGCACGGTGTGGCACGCATTTTTAGAGAAGAAACGTCAAGAACGCGAAATTCAGGATCCTGACAGGTCGTCCACTCAGTCGAACCTTGTCGTGTGAAAAAGACTGTCTTTTCAAACTGTCGTTTCAATTGAATCTAAGCAACACTTTCTGAAATTTATTTCGCACTAGACCACAATTTATCGCCTTCACGCGTCGTTTGATGGTCTCATTTAATGAGGTGTGAAAGTGATAAATTGTAATTCTCCGAATGCCTATTTTCCCATAGTTGCTGCGTTTTTTTTCATAAAACCAAATTTATAAATAGAACATCTCGTTTTTTAGACTGGGATGCTGTGAATAATTTGCTAGCATGATTTTTTTAAAGGTTAAAAACACGTTGTGAACACATTTACAATAAACGCAGGAGCCCGCGAGGATACTCGTCTTTCGTGTTTCTTTAATGCAAAACGTAGATTCGTTCATTCTATCTTGAAGTAGTAGTAATAAAGTGGCCTTCTATTTGATTTTTATCTTTTCGCTATAGAAGCCTTTTGGAAACATTAAGACGCGACTTGACGCCGAGCGTTGATTCTATCTTGGAAAACCGTGAGCTTTGACTTTGGTGTGAGGATACTTGCTATCGGAGCAGTGATTACCTGGACTAAATTTAAATGACGGATAAATGACCGATGCACGCTCCATTACTATCGACTCCTTATTTACATCTAATTATTAGACTGTCCAATTGACACCTAGATTGCGTGTGCGGCCAAGCCACAGACGTAGCCAAACGCAACGTATTTTGAGATTATAACTTCTCTTATGTCCTTCCTTTTCATATGACCAACTTGTTTCTGCTGCCGCTAATTTATACTAAGCTCTTGCTCATGCAAAGCTGGCTGCAGCCACCACTTTTCTAGGGTAAAGTTCAATAGCTCTTACTGTAAGACTGTGAAAACCCAGAGCTATTCTGCGCTTTACTATGCACTAGTATTTTATTGTACTACAAATGTTAAAAGTAGTAGTATGGACGACTCCAATTGTACGTCTTATAGTGATATATGTCAAAAAAGCACTACGCGTAGTACAGATACTAAACAGAAGTGCTAGACAGCGAAGTAAAATAAAGAACAAAAAAAAATACAAGAGAAAACATTATTGTCGGCACATCGATACTTAAATCTACCCCTTGATGAGAGCCTTAGACTGGAGGCCCTTCCGGAAGGCCTTGATGACACGAATCTGGGCGCGAATGCGAGCGAATCCACGCACCCAGAGCTCCTGGCCACGACCAGAGCCAGACGTCATCTTGCGAACTTCGTCCTCGTCCACCTCGCGGCAGATGGCCATCCAGCTCGGAGCGTTCTTCATCGAAATCATGCGCAGGGCCAGACCAAGCGGCATCGAGACGAAGCCCATGGCGATGCAGGCGAACCACTGACCAGCGCTCAGAGGCTTGCACTTGAACCAGTCACCAGTGTGCTGCACCATCACGTACTGCATAGCAACCTGCAGCACGCACACGTACAGGAAGACACGGTTCTTGGTAATACCGGAGAAGATGTTGATCTCGTCGTGGATCTTACGGCAGTTGAGCTCGTTGAACAGCTGAGCCCACACGAACGTGTTGAACACGATGGTCATGTGCTGGGTCGGGTCGTCTTCGATCTCCTCAGGCAGGTCAGTGATACGGCCCGACGGGATGTCGAACCACTTCTCACCAGTGAACACAATAACCAGCAGCAGAATCAGCTGGTAAGCGGACTGGCCGAGGATGTGCTTGGTCATCTTCTTGGAGATCAACGGCTGCGTCTTCGGGTACGGCTTACGCTCCAGAAGAGCAGGCGTGGGCTCCTCAGTGGCCAGAGCCAGCGAGGCGAACGAGTCCATGATCAAGTTGACCCACAGCATCTGCACAGCAGACAGAGGAGACTGCTCCAGCACCACAGCACCGATGAAAGCCAGCGAGATAGCCACCACGTTGACAGTCAGCTGGAACTGCAGGAACTTGGCGATCGAGTCGTACACGTTACGTCCCCACTTGATGGCGTTCACGATCGAGTTGAAGTTGTCGTCCATCAGAATGATATCAGAGGCGTCCTTGGCCACAGCCGTGCCACTGATACCCATAGCGAAACCCACGTTAGCCTTCTTGAGAGCAGGAGCATCGTTGGTACCGTCACCAGTCACAGCAACAACCTGGGGGCCGTGCGGAACAACGTTGCTCTGCATCAAACCCGACACCAACGTGTACTTGTCCTTAGGCGACGAACGGGCGAGGACACGAAGCATGGGCCAGATCTTGTCAAACTCCGACTGGATGATGTTGCCCTGCGAGTCCAGCACACGGCTGCGGAACGTCTGGCCGTCCATGATCAACGAGCCGTCACCAGGCTGCGTGATGCCGCACTTGCTGGCAATGGAACGAGCAGTAGTAATGTTGTCACCCGTCACCATGCGCACGGTAATACCGGCACGGTAGCACTGCTGAATGGCACCGGGCACCTCCGGGCGAACAGGGTCTTCAATGCCAACAATGGCCACACAAGTCAAGTTCTTCTCCACATCATCATCCGACCAGTTGACCGTGTCTTCGGCGGGAACGTCCAAGTCACGGTAAGCCAGACACAGCGTACGGTAGGCCTGGGAAGCGTACTTCTCGATCACTTCGTCACCGATCTTGGCCTTGCGGGCGTCGTCCAGAGCCTCAATGGAACCGTCCACACGCTGCATGTCCTGGCACAGACCAAGCACCACCTCGGTAGCTCCCTTGGTGTACACACGGCACGTGGTCGCGCTACGACGAACCACCACCGACATGCGCTTCTTGGCACTGCTGAACGTCAGCATGTGCACCACTTCGTTGTTCAAGCGGATCTCCGGGTACTCGACGCCACCGTCACGAATGTACTGCAGCAGAGCGCACTCCGTCTTGTTACCGGTGTGTTCGGGCAGTCCGTTCTCCACCTTGGGGGGCAGAATCTCAGCCGTCGAGTTCACAGCAATGCCCATGCACAGAGCCTCCTTGGTCGAGTCCGAGAGAGCACCAATGCCCTCCGTAGCAGACGAGAACTCCTTGTCACCGACCCACAGCTGCATCACCGTCATACGATTGGTGGTCAGCGTGCCGGTCTTGTCAGAACACACAGTCGTGGCACTGCCCATCGTCTCACAAGCGTCCAGGTGACGCACCAGGTTGTTGTCCACCAGCATCTTCTTGACCGAGTAGGCCAGAGCGATGGTCACAGCGAGCGGCAGACCCTCGGGGATAGCCACCACAAGCACGGTAATAGCGATAATGAAGAAGTTGAGGTAGTCACTGACGTAGCCACTCTTCCAGGACTTGTTGTCGTTGCCGAATGTGTCGATGGAGAAGCGGATCGACATGATCACGAACACCAGCAGAGCCACAAGTGTACCAAGCTTGCCGATAAGCACAGTCAAGTTGTACAGCTTGCCCTCAAGAGGCGACTGGCTCTCACCATCGTCTTCACCTCCCTTGTTGTTCTCCTCTTCAAGAGTAGCAACGTTCTTGGGGGTCTCAATCTCGACGTAGATCTGGTCATCTGCAGCGTCCGGGTTCTTCTTGGTCTTGTTGTCACTTCCTCCGGCAGCAGCAGCTCCAGGACGGTTGCCGTTGATCAGACTCTTGATAATACCAGCCTGCGAGTGCTCACCGACACACACCACGAGCATCTTACCGACACCTTCCATGACCTTGGTACCGGAGAGGAGGAACGGGTTCTCGGCGTTCTTGGGAAGCAGGTCGGACTCACCAGTCATGGCACTCTCGTCCATCTTGATCTCCTTCTCGTCGAACACGATACCGTCGGCTGGGATGATGTCACCCAGGTCCACACGGACAATGTCACCGACCACAAGGCTCCACTTGCTGACCTCAGCAGGCTGGCCGTTGCGGATAACCTTGATCTTCTCGTCCTCCTTGACGGCGTTTAAAGCGCGGAACTGGGCCTCCTTCTGGTAGTCGTTCATAGCCGTCACGATCGTGACCACGACAACGGCCAGAATGATACAGGCTCCTTCGACCCAGCCGGTCTCAGGGTGGTCGCCCACTGTACTTGATAGGATGATGGAGATGAAACCCGAGATAGTCAACACGATGATAGTGATGTCCTGGTAGGCGTCCCACATGAGCTCCAGGAAGCTCTTGGGCTTAGGGGGCGGGACGTAGTTCTTGCCGAAAGATTCCTCACGCTTGGCGAGATCCGACGCGTTGTTCGAGTCCAGACCCTGACGAACGTCGACGTTGAGCGCAGCGGCGATGCCCTCGAGGCCGCCCATGCTTGCGAGCACGTCCTGCTGCTTCTCATGCGGAGTCTCCACGAGACGGATGAGATCTCCCGTGACCAGCTTGAACGAGGCCATGGTCTCTTCTTCTTCAGTCGGCGAAAGGGAGAATGATAAGAATCTCTTAGATCAGGACGCACAGACACGGGGCAGAGGCCGATCGAGTAAAGCTGTTTTTAGTCGAGTATCTTAGTACCAGACTGTGGCTTGACTTGACTCTGCCGAGGGAAGTTCGGGAATGACCGAAGCCTTCGACTAAGCGGCTGACGAGCTCTGTCCCCTTCGCCCAAACCCGTTTGTTGGTGTGTCGTTCGTGTGTTGGTACAGAGCCAGAGGCGCTCCAGACGGGCCAGGCGATTTGGGGACTGAGGAAAGGTCCCGCGCAAATCGAGATAAGCGTGCAGTCAACAAAAGCAGCCAGCAAGTGGTGGCGGTGAAGGCAGGTGATACAAAGCTTCGCAGGCTTGGAAGGCGTGAGCGAGCGAGCAGGAATCGCCCGAGATGATTGGTGTCGAAGGTGGAGGCATCTTCAAGCAACCATTCCGCACTTTTCTTTTAGTGTAAGTGCAACCCGATCTGAGAGATTCGCTATTGAGAGGAATCGGATCTCAGAGATGAATCTCGCTGATTTGACTGCCACTCACTATCACTATGTCGGTGGATTTTCGAGCTGAATGTCTCAAGATACATTCGTAGAGGTTCTTGACTGGGTTTATTTTTACCACTGCTCGTGGCATGTCCACCAGCCTCGACAAAGATTTCCCCTAGATTTTTTACGTGTGTTGCTATAGGAGGTTGAAACTGAAGAAAAAGACGCCGTTAGCCCTTGTGTTGCGTGTGAATATCAACCGTCCTCACGTGATAGCGCTGATGCTGGAACGCTCTTGCAGTGTTGAACGATTAAGCATCAAAATGGCCAATCAGATCGACGTTGCATTGATGGCCCGTTGCTGTACTTAATCGAAATACCAAAGATCGCCAGTGTTGACTCGAAAGCTGAAACCTCAAAATGCGTCGGCTTCTTGACTCCCATGCCTTCCAGGGAAATAGCCTACATATTATGGGGCGCTAGGTAACTGAACCTTTCCTCTGCAATGTGTCCTGCGTCAAGGAGGACATTAGAATTCCAAGTTTACGTCGATACGATATCAGCAGTACTCACGCGAAATGCGACGAGGTGAAGTGCCAAAGATGACAGTGAATGCCTTGATGTAGCCGGCAGTGTAGCCTGGTTGAGCTGATATACAGGCAAATCTGGCTTCGATGTCGAGCAGCGCGAGTCGAGCCGGCATAAAATCCAGCGGAGATCAGACACGGAGGTCTTGTTGCGTGTTTTCGGTGCAGCAGTCTGACTGCTCGACTGGAGGACATCGCCGACGTACTGTAGGTACATGTATCACCTGTCCACGACAACTTACCGTCGGCGATCCTTGCAGATACCACACAGTACGCGGTGCTGTGGTACGTGTATTTGAATGCCTTCTAACTTGTCAGTTCCAACGTACATCAGAGCTGCAAGAGAGAGATTGAACTGGTACATGTGAACTGCCTTTAATTGTGAGCTTGCACGAAGTGCGAGATAGCATGCGCTCGTGGTACCTACGCTGGTGGCTATCAAGACAGCGGCTGCCATCCAGCGATCATTTCATCAGAATTGAAGTTGTCGATTAATGGCGACTTGCCCAGTTTATGTTTGACAAGCTGGAACTCTCCCTGGGTGAGTCGCCCATGGCTGGCCCACAAGCCGCAAACCACAAACATAAGACTTACTCGGGCTCGCTAGCCCCTTCGAAGCTGGAGAATTTGTCCATACATGCATGTACTTCTAATAAATCGAAGACAGCATGGCATGGCATTTCGGACTGCAGTAAAACAATGAATAGTATGGGGGGGGGCGATCATTTTATCCCGTTTGGAGAATGTGCTTGGAACTCGGGCATCACCGGCTCGTTCTCAGGAGGAGGTGACGCGACTTGGAATCGTCGAGTCATATTGTTCTGTTGGAGACCGTCACTTTCATAACGGGCATGACCGGGGCGCGAGGTTTTAGCAGCGCCAAAGGCACCGTATATGCGGCACATTTTTGCAGGCGATTTGCTCCAAACTGCGCAGCAGTAACAGCTCGGACCTGTCAGCTTCCCAAGTCTTGGCGGCTTATTACCATCGGAAACTACATGTTATTACTGGATATCTCTTGGTAAGCCGGTCACTGAGAGGAACATGGCTACATGTACATTTACACCCGTACGAAAGACTGCGGCCACCGCTACTACACAAGGCGCGTCGCGCCACCAGCCAACATCCCAACGAATATTTTCCAAGCCGCCAATCTCCAAATGTTATGAATATAAAACAGCTTTTGGTATACTTTGAATCTGGTGTCTATTTTCAAAATGAGAATACCCTTTTTTACGAATTAGTAAAATAACTCGTTTTACAATTCGTACGTAAAAATACATTAAACTCGGCAATTTCTATCCGCAACGTAAAAGGCTATTCGAACAAGCTCCAAGAAGGCCTTGAATGTGGTAACTGTTGTGTCTCTTACTTCTCCAGAAAACATCTCATTCGCAGATCCAATGCAGCATCGTATCCTTCATCATTACAAACTGAAATAGCCTTTTCAAGCCTCCCTTATGCGATCCAGCAGGCTTTACTTGTATTGCTTGATTTGTTCAAGTTTTAGTCGTGTCGTCAGTTATAGCCTAATTCCAGATAAAAAAAAAACTGTATCCACTCGTCACAGGTCTTGATAAAAACAATTTGGCACCCCAGTTTTTAGTACAGAATGTATGTCTCTCGCTCCGTAATTACCTGTTAGCATTTTCTACTAGACACTAGCTAACTGTTATCTACTCCATTTAGCTGACTATACAGTCAGTGTACAGGTAGGACACTACTAATGGAGGCCAGTAACCCTCTCTGTTGTTCTCTAAAAAAAACTCCTGATACAGAATACGCAAACTTTTAAGTGTATACGGCAAATGAGTGGCATTTTAATGCAATTCATTTGCCGTATTAATAAGTAGATTGATCTTTTACCGGTACAATCGCATTGTAGAAGGAGTTTGCTTGCAGTTCCTCGGGTCTGTGTGGTGTTTTGGCTGTATGAGTCTTTTTCTAGAATGTTACTATATTGACTGCCTGCTGACCAGCCGGGCTGGAGCTCCCCACTGCGGAGTGAAGAGTTTGTTGAGATCGTTTTTGATTTCTTGGTGTTGGTGATTCGCGGTGCTTGGTGAAGAAGCTTGTCTCCACTTATGGAGAGTTCTGTTAGGTTAGATTTTAAGTTTTCGATGCGAAGGCATGTCGATGCTCGGTCACCAAGCTGTATAGGCAGAATTTATTGTAAGTACGATGCAGTTGCATGATCTTAGTGTCCGGACCGTCGTTGCCTTTTAATTCCAAATTCAGTTTAATGTGAATGCTCCCATCTAACGTTAGTGCAAAGGAGGGGGGGGGTTCTTTTTGCTAACCACTAGCAGGCTTACAAATATTGCAGATAATCTCGACAAAACCTTCCAAGATCTACGTAAGGATTCCTTTTAAGGACGCATTCTGTCAAAATGATACTGCCCAACGTGTCAAGCATTTACCGCTTGCAAAGTTAATCAGTCTGCTTGCACCCGTTAGTTGCGCCTTGACGTAAAATGTTTATTTGCTAGTACTCGTACTCGTGGGTGCAATAGTAAAGCGATGGACTTGTAGTGTCGGTTTTCGCTTTGGTAATTATGTGATGACCTAGTTGACTATGGTAGACAGTCCCTTATTGGGATCACATCAAATGCAAGAAAAAACTACGGAACACTTTATTCTATAGTGTTTTTGCACTTTCGCCATTCCGATCTTGCAGAAGCTTCAACAATAATAAATCGAGGTATATTATGTTCCCTTAGTGCTGGGTACCTGAACTCTAACAACCATTTCCGACTAATATATGTCATCTCGCCGAGTCTATCTCCACCTCCACCCTTCCTCTTTACTCCCTGATCACTTGCTCTACCTAACTTGGTTTCTGCTCGTCCTCCACATCTCAACATCTCCAGACACAAATTCCGGCAATCCGTTCCACAGGATGTTCAGATTTCTTCGCCGTTCATCCTGCAGAAGCTAAACATGTGTGCGATGCGCGTTATCGCGCAGTAAGCTTTCGCACGCCTCACTGCATGTTGTGGTTTGCTCCTCTAATTCGAATGCGCAATCCAACTATTGCGCGCATATATTTATTTGGCGTTCTAAAGTATCTTTTTGTCTTTCAATCACCAGGGCGATATTAGCGGAGTTCCACGTTACAGATCATATTGCCATGGTTCTGACAGACACGTACTCCAATAAAATGTTCACTTGATTGTCCATAACTGCCGGCTCGATGGATCCCGCGCTTCTGTTAATTGTGGTAAATCAAACGAAGCAACCAGCATGATCGAGGTGCGTTGTGATGACAAACTAAAGGTTGTAATTTTACCGTCGAAGGATCGAGTCTGTGGCACTACATGCATTAATCGGCAGAGACTCCCAGGCAAGCATTTAAATCTAGACTGCCCATATATCGGCGCCAAACGCTTAAATTCTTTACGAAAAATGCATTGAGCCCCCAAGTCTTTCTTCGAAGTGACAGTAGGTGACGTTGATCTAACATTTTTGTTTTATTAACCGACTGCAACGCACCAGGTTCGAACTGAAGCTAAAAGACGAATAAGCATCAAATAATCGAAGGGCAAGCAACAATGTACGAGAAGTAAACTAGCCAAGCATCAGCGAGCGCAATTTCATCTTGATATGAAGTAGTTTCCCGTCGTATCTCCACAAGCAAAATGCTAACAAAAAATATGAGGTTCTCTTTCGAGTTACAAAAAATGTCTAACAGTTGTGGTGGTAATTAATTTCGCGATATTGTTCGATAATTTTCACGTTACATCAAGAATACTTACACTATTGCTCAGATAGTTGATTTGATCAACGACACCCGAACCTTTACTTTCATTTCGCGTTGGGGTTTAATAGATGCAAGAATCCTTTATCGGGGTATGTGCACCCATGTGGCATTGGAGTTCCCTGTAACTACATGCGTAGTTGCCGTTCACTACCCCAGTCTCGCGAAAATGAAAATGTAAAATGAATTAAACAAGACTAGCAGAATAGATATGGAGCTATCCGATACTGCATTTGTCAGAGAGCGAAGTACATTAACTAGTAGGTCAGTACTAACTGTTAATAGCTATGAACGCTGGCAATATGCAGTAGACCATTGCAGTAGGCAGTTCGCTATTTTAAAGCCACAGTATTCTTTTTTTTAAACTTACCTTGATTTGTTCCCATTTTACCAAAAGTCACATTCCTGTTTCTACGCGTTTTGTTAAAAGATTCGCCATGTGGTTTTTCAACGTGAGCACGTGATGGAGCACTTGAATCTAAGAGCGGGTACAGTACGAATTCACGTTTTCGGGTCGGAATTCGACGTGGCTCCTTCAAATTGCCGTATGTAATCCGAGCTGATAATGTCGGTTGGTACATCTCTAAAAGAGTCAATCTGAAGGGTCACCATGCTGAGCCTTGCTTTAATTTTAGCGAGCTAGCAAACCGTAGACCGCATTGCTATAGCTGTCCATTGCAGCAGCGCGGTCTGTGAAGCAGACTCACTCAACCGAGTTTAATCAATTAATCGATCGCGCTTAGATGAATGCGTGACTGACAGATGCAGGTACCGCGAATCTATGATTCGTTCGTTGCGAGTGGAAGGGTCTCTCCGATATCAACTGATGGGATGGTATCTTGCATTCAGTTGTCATCAAACGATGTGGCGAAACACCCTGTTTGCACTTCGGCGAGAGCTGTGCACATGTAACGACGAAGTTCGATGAACAAACCTGCTGTCTCAAGCCATGAGGCAGGGATTTAGACGCAAGCGATAGTCGCAGACACTGCCTGAGCGAGGGTGTAATGCAAACGGCTCGCTGCCGTCCACCCATTTTGAGGGCAGTGACGGCGATGGAGGCGCCGTTGGGGGCAGCGATCGAAGTTACCTTGAAGCTACACCCACATAACATAAACAGGCGGTTTTTAATTTCTGCACGAATTAGTCGAAAAAAAAACTAGTCGATTAATTTGCGTCGGTGTAACGTTTCCTCATAGGCAACTATATTTACTTAAAAGCAGCGCCAACCATTTCTTGGAGCATCACAGTTCAAACAAGGCATTCACAACGATGTCTGGGCATGCAAGTCAACTACTCGATCGAAGGCCTGGCACAACAACTCAATGAATCTCCACTTGCGTTCGAACGCATCACAGAGAGATTCACTGTCCTTGTGGTACACCCTTTCGTATGACTTTAACAAGCGCAGAGTATCGCAGCCGACATGGCGAATCTTGAAGTTCGACGGCCATTAATCAATCGTCAATATTTTAATCAGAGGATAATCATTACGATTTGCACAAAACAAGCGCACCGCCGGCTTTAACGTCTGCGCGGCATTTATGCGTGGTATTTGTCCTGTTTTACCCCCTTCTGCATTCAGCGCCTTCCAACAACACTCTCTAGGACATCTGTAGATTCTAGAAGATGTAGGAAATACTTCCTAGAAGTTACTGTCATGAACTTGAATCGCGAGCACCAGATACAGAGCCAAGCTGTAGCTGGTTGTGGCAGACTGCTCTTGGCCCTCGTGGGATTATTCCTCACATCAACTGGTGGGTCTTGTCAGGAAGATGGTCTACTTCTCCTCGGCGGTTGGCTGCCATCAGGGTTCTTAGGACAACTGTTCCTCGCATCAATCTCAACCTCAGTTTCCGATTTGACACTCATCCAGCACCCACTCCAGTCGCCATGATCCACGACACTTCAACCGACTACGAGAAGGTAACCACGCCGAACCTCGAGCCCCGTCCTAGCACCATTGTCAGTGACACCAACCAGAAGCAAGACATTGACATTGACGATGAAGACGAAGACTCGTACTCCAAGAAGCCGCTTCAGGAGAAGATCATCTGGGGTATCATCTACGGTACTGCATCGCTGGCCGCGCTATACTTCTTCATGGTGGCTGTCAAACTTATCGGTGATGGTTTCACGCTGGCACTTGGATGTGACACGAAGGGAGCCTTCGACTTCGCCGATAACCCCGTGGCTGGTCTGATGATTGGTACCATCGCCACTGCTCTGCTTCACAGCTCGGGTACGGTGACTTCTATCGTCGTGGCTCTTGTGGGCTCTGGTGGTATGACGATTCGTCAGGGTGTGTATGTGATCATGGGTGCCAACATTGGTACGTGCATCACGTGCATCATGGTAGCGTTCGGTCAGGTCGGAGACCGTGCTCGTTTCCAGCGTGCTATGGCCGCCGCTACGGTCCACGACATGTACAACCTGTGGTCGGTCTTCGTGTTGTTCCCTCTTGAAGTGCTCTTCCACCCTCTCGAGGAGCTGTCAGTCGCCATGTCCAATGCCCAGACTGACAGTGGCGCGTTCTCGAGCCCTATCGACACCATCGTGAAACCGCTCGCAAAGGAAATAATCGTCGTGGACAAGAACGCCATCTACAAAGTCGCTACAGGCGATTTGGTGTGCGAACCCGGCCAGTCATTCGTCAAGGGAGGCGCGTTTGAGGGTTCAAGCATGAGTGACGGCAGCATCGGAGCCATTGTGGTCGTGATCGGTTTCTGTATCCTGGTCTGCTCTCTGCTCACATTGGTGAAAATGCTTGCCAAGGTCTTCATGGGCCCCACCAAGCGTCTCATTTCCAAGCTGCTGAACTACAATGGCTATATCAACATCCTTGTCGGAACGATGATCACATTCGTCGTTCACTCATCGACAGTCGTCACATCCACCCTTACTCCGTTGGCAGGTCTGGGTGTTGTCTCGCTGGAGCAGGTGTACCCGTTGGTGATCGGAGCCAACCTCGGTACGACGGGCACGGCTTTACTTGCAGCTTTGGTGACGGGCAAGTCCGACTCTGTGGCCATTGCTCTCGTGCACTTCTGGTTCAACGTGTTCGGCATCCTGCTCTTCTACCCGATCCCGCTCACTCGCAAGCCCATTTTGGGCTGGGCACGCTCGTTGGCATTCTCTAGTGCCGCGTGGCCTATGACCGCTGTGCTGTTCCTCATCGTGCTCTTCTTGGTGGCACCGGGCATTCTGCTTGGGTTGGTGTACATGTGCACCGCTGACAGCACCGCGGTGGAGGTGATCGGATACATCTTGGGTGCTATCGTGGTGGTTGCGCTGGTGGGTGTCATCTTCTGGTACCAGAAGAAGGGCGGTCGCACGGTGTGGCACGCATTCTTGGAGAAGAAGCGTATGGAGCGCGAAGCTCGGGTCGCTCGCGATGCTGCCAGGTCGCACACCCAGTCAAACCTTCCCCACAATGCGGTTTAAATCATTGATCGTAAGCAAGTTTGTCTAGTTAATACATGTATTTCAGGTTACCTTTCTTTGTATCGAATTAAGTTTTTTAG